AAGTAGCAATGCGGGTGGACAGTGGGCTGCTGGTGATGAACCGCTGTATTACATCGTGTCTCCTAAGGATATTGTGGTAGCAAAGCCAAGGTTCGTTAAAATGTTGCAGAACAAGAGTGCACATTAGCCCTTGTTCTACAATTGTTAATTAAACAAGGCAATGGTTATTTATAAAGCGTTATTCTTTCTGGAATTGTGGTGATCTTCATTGGCAATTTTTCTCTGATTGCACGCGCCTTCTAATTAGAGATACTGAAGACCATATTGCGTGGCTTCTTCAACATGGTTGGCATGAAAAGGCATTAGCTGCAGTTGAAGCAGGACAAGGGAGGACTGAGCTTCTTGATGAGGTAAAGTAGCAATGTCAAGTTTGATTATTAAATGGAGTACAGTGCATCAGCATTATTTGTCTGATGACGAGGATGCTGTTTAATTTACCTAGAAATTGGCATCTTTAAGGAGCCAGTATTACGTTGGTTGGTGTTCACTGTATTGTTGACTTCATGTACAACTTAGCCATCCCATCTGAAAATAATGAGACCTCTGTCACTGAGCAATACGTGCTTCTATTCAAAATAATCCATCTTTAGACATTATTTTAGAAAACCTTTACACCTTTAAAGTGTCATGAGCTAAGGTGACCATAACATTGGAAGTGATAAATGAGACGCTGAAATACATGTTCTCTTCTTAAATCCCATCTATATGCATTCTTCTTTTCAATTCAGTTTTCAGAAAGTTATAAGTGTGTTATGTTTAACCACGTAATTGGTCTATCGTATGTGGGGCAGTTTTTAGGAAGGGTGGCTCTAACTATGAAAAGGAGATCTAACCACACAAGGAATAGTTGAATTATTATTAAATTTTGTTCATTCAATTTTGTAGGTGGGCACAAGATACCTTGATCACTTGATCATTGAAAGAAAATATGCTGAAGCAGCACAACTCTGTCCAAAGTTACTGCGAGGATCTCCTTCAGCATGGGAGAGGTGAGATAATTATGTAGACACATCTCTCACCCAGAGAAGGAGTTGTTTTTCATGGGCACTTTCTGTGTTAATCATACATGTTTTACATCTAATAACAATAACTTACCTGCCACAGATGGGTCTTTCACTTTGCTCATCTCCGCCAGCTTCCTGTGTTGATCCCTTACATACCCATAGAGAATCCACAGCTGAGTGATACTGCTTATGAGGTACCTGTACTAGTTTTTGTTAGCTGTAATCCTTGTGTTATATTTTACGTAGCTAGGGAGTAGTAGTACAGGCCAGCTAGAGCTTCCTTAGGGCTACTTTGATTCATAGGATTGTTACAGGATTTTCATAGAATTGTGATTCTATGGAATTGGAATTTTTTCTATAGATGTTGTTTGATTCATATGAATGCAATCCTTAGGAATCATTCCTATGGAACTTTCCTTTTTCTATTTGGTAGGAAATTTTGCATGAGTTCCAAGCTCTTGGAAAATTCCTACACTTCCATCAAACACACACTTGCCCCAATTCCTTTGTCTTGCAATTTCATTGGATCCAGATGGGCAGGGCATATTAATCCTCCACTTTTCCTATCCCATGAATCAAAGGAGCCCTTAGTCAGTAAGATAGTGTATGCAGCTGGACAGCTAGTAGTAGTCAATTTGCCTTTTGCATGTACTAGCAACTGCTAGAGCTGCATGGTCGGTTCAGCATTAGCAACCCTGTACTGTTTATATGCCTCAAGGCAACAATACAAGTAACAGCTCCAGAAAAACACTATCCTGTGTTCGCCCCGGCTCCTCTCTGCTTCTAACAGTTTTTTGCTTATTCTTTCCAAACCTATCTATTTGTAATGATATTCTAATGTGGTCTATGTAGGTTGCTCTTGTAGCTTTAACTACCAATGCGTCTTTTCACGGACTTCTCTTGACTACAATAAAAAGTTGGCCACCTACATTATACTCTGCTTCACCAGTCATATCTGCTATTGAGCCACAGCTCAATTCCTCATCGATGACTAACTCATTAAAAGAGGTGGGTCGGAACATTGTTTACTGGATGTCGAAAGACTGTAATTTATTTATTTGAGCTAGAGGTTGGTATCTTGATCTTGTCTGCTTTGTAGGCTTTAGCTGAGTTGTACGTGATTAACAGTCAATATGAAAAGGCTCTTTCTCTCTTCGCTGAAGTAAGTACAGCCTAGATTGTAGCAGTTAAGAGCTCCATTCTACAATTGAGTTATAAAAGGAGCAGTTCCTGTAGTTTTGTTTCTAGGGCATGTTTTTATTGCTAAAACCTTATTTTGTTCAGCTGCTGAAGCCTGAAGTATTTGAGTTTATCGAGAAGCACAATTTGCATGATGCCATTCATGATAAGGTACGGTGTAAGGATTCCCAATTGGATGATAAAATTATCACAAGCATTTGATATTGTATTCGTGACTGAATTTTGTGGAACTTAATGTGGCCATAAATCCTAGTCTGTGGTCTAATTTGAGTTCCTTATATATAGTTACATTCTACCAAGACATAACGTAGAAAGACAAAGTCTTTTACATGCTCCACTTATTTCTTGTTCTTTACGTTCTGCAGGTTGTCAATCTTATGCTATTGGATTGTAAAAGGGCAGTCCATCTATTGATCCAACATCGTGATATCATTCCCCCGTATGAAGTCGTGGAGCAACTGTTGCATGCAAGTAAAAGTTGCGACAAAAAATATCTGTTGCATCAGTATTTGCATGCTTTGTTTGAGGTAGACATACATGCTGGAAAAGATTACCATGATATGCAGGTATGTGGATTCTCATTGGACATACTATCCCTATATATTGTCTACCTGCTCATTCTTCCCGTTTCCCCTATTTCTGTACCCTCTTATCTCATGTTCTGACACAAACTAGTAATTCCGAACTATCTGTGTTGTAGCTGGAGCTTTATGCGGATTATGAGCCAAGGATGTTACTACCCTTCCTTCGTACCAGCCAGCATTACAGGCTTGACAAGGTCCTAGTCCTAATACTTAATTTTTTTGTCATTCATTCATTATAGTTAACAATGGCGTGTGGTATTTCAGGCATATGAAATATTTGCACAAAAAGAATTTGTCAAGGAGCAAGTTTTTGTTCTTGGTCGTATGGGAAATGCTAAGGAAGCGCTTTCTACAATTATAAACAAACTGGAAGACATACAGGAGGTCCTAACCTGGCTATCCTCATTTTCTTATGATATCTTATGCTGTGTTACCCAACTTGAGTCTATGGGTTTGGATTAGAATAACATAATTTTTGAACTGTATGCAGGCCGTTGAATTTGTTACGGAGCAACATGATGATGAATTATGGGACGAATTGATAAGACAGTGCCTCCAAAAGCCTGAAATGGTAATCGAATGAGATGTCTGCTTACTCGTCATGAGATTGATACCATTATATTATATGTCTTACATTATTTGTTGTGACTGTTGAGCAGGTTGGGATGCTGCTGGAACATACTGTCGGCAATCTTGACCCTCTGTACATTGTCAGTTTGGTTCCAGATGGGCTAGAAATACCCAAGTATGTTTCCCTGGAAGTCTATTTCGCCCAAAGATCACAAGATTGATCCTAGGAAATATTATACATGACAAAAACCTTACAAAACCAATTTCTTTCGTCATAATTCACCAATAATTTGTGAAAAACTGACAAAGACACCTCTTAACCCATTCCGTTCCTGGTTAAAGTATTTACTGATTATTCACGCTTTGACAGATTGCGGGATCGCCTTGTGAAGATTGTGACAGACTATCGAACAGAAACTTCACTGAGACATGGATGCAACGATATACTAAAGGTCAGCCATCTCCATTTCACTACCCTGGTGTATCTGTGATCCATCTTACATGTTTGCTGGCTCTGCCTTCTGTAGGCCGATTGTGTTAATCTTTTGGTCAAATACTACCACGAGGCTCGGCGTGGGGTCTGCATGGCAAGCATGGACGAGGAGGCACAAGGAGCCAGAGTCAACGAAGGATCTTCTCGAACAGGCGACAGATCATCGACATTACGTAATCTAGAGATGAAATCCAGAACGAGATGCGGCGCTCGATGCTGCCTGTGCTTCGACCCTTTGTCCATCCAGGACATGTCATTCATCGTGTTCTATTGCTGCCATGCGTATCACCAGTCTTGCCTCGAAGGCGGGCTGGACTCGATGAAATCAAACAGCAACGCCCGGGACAGCGACGATGGGTCGGAGGACGACGAGGGTTCCCCCTCGGGCGAGTCTAGAATGCGGTGTGTGCTGTGCACCACAGCCGCCGCATAAGTTATATTCCTCATTGAGCTGTCCATATTCTGATGTGTTGTGTTGTAAGTTTTGAGCCCTGTAATTATTTGCATTGCGCTCTTCTGGGGTTGATGCATATGTAACAACAATAGGTTGTTGATTCTTTGAGGGGGAGCTGTGTGCGTCCTCGGCATGGGTTTTCTGTAAATTTGGCGCGCCACCTGAGTTTGAGCAAGGTTGTAACGGCATTTCTTTTTTCCTCGATGCCACGCTTGCCAGATCATGCAATGTTCATGAAGACTTGTTTGTTTTGAAGAAAGTGGGATGATCAATTTTATTTTTGGTGTTCTATATAATTTTGTTTTCCTGTGTACCAACAGCATTTTTCTTGTTGCAAGCTGAAGTGTAACTGAACAAGCAGATTATTGCTATTCAAACATGTAAGGACTCCTTCCATTTTACATTGACACCGAGATTCAGCCATCAGAAGTGTAGTACACTGATTCAAAATTACAATGTGGAATAACAGAAATTGGTCGAGCAACGAACAAGAAGATATATCATATAAGTAGTTTGTGCTCAACATTGCATAGTACCTTACGAAGCAACATCCAACAGCTACCATACCCTATTTACTTGTTAACATATCAGCAGCAAAATTCATGGTATCATTCTCACAAAGAGAAACTGACAACAAGCAACGCTGAAAAACCAAGATACAGACGTTTTTATGCAAAAATGCACTGGCCTAAAGTCTAAGCACTGCTCGTCGCCTTGGGATCCGGGCACGGCACGATCCCCCAGTTCCTCCGCACCTCCTCCAGATCCTCATGGAAGTGCTTCTCATAGTACACGGACATCAGATCAGTAGCCTTGACACCTGCCTTGGTCGCCCATGGGAAATAGTGCTGGAAGAACAGCCTCCTCTGCTTCTCGCTGAACCTCGCGGAGCCCCCGATGACAGAGAGCATGCACATCGGGAGGAACATCTGCTCGAACTCGATCACCTTGAGGGCAGTCTCGCCGATCAGGTTGGTCGGGAGGCTGAACAGCACGTGCCAGAAGTCGTGCACCTCACGGGCACGGGTCGCGACGAAGGCGAGGTCGTCGGTTTCCATGAAGCGAACTGGTGGGCGGTCGTCCGGTGAGAAGTTCCTTGACCCCATGAACTGAGCATAGGCAGCACCGAACGTGTTCTCAGGCATGTCCCAGGCGTGTGAAACCCGAGTGGATATAACCCGAGGACGCTCCAAAAGAATTTCCTGTAGGAACATGCTATTTTAGTTAGACTGGAAAGAAGTCCGTAGACAAATGGATGTAGCTGTATCTTCAGTTTGCCATGTATATACAAATTGCATCGAACAGTGAGCAGTTGCCTCGGATAACAATAACAAACGGATATTCAAGTTGATCAGAAAGTTAAGGAGTTAAGACTCCAGCCAAACAGGAGCAATAATTCAGAAATTTATAATCCAATGAACAGTTGAGGAATAAAAGAAAAAAGAAACCAGTGTACAACAAATGCTTCATATTAAATGCTGTATTCATGTCCAGTCTTTTGTGGAATATGTCCAGTCTCCAAAACAAACCACATAAATAGGAAAAAAAGTATTCTACAACAATTCTAGCATGGGTGAATCATCAGTTGTCAATCACTCTCAGTTTTGACATGAGAAATTACGGTGTTTCAACAATTGAACAATCATAATAATAAAAATCTATAGAAAATTGATAGAACTTTATCTTCAGTTTGCCATGTACTCCTTCCGTCCGGAAATACTCGTCGGAGAAATGCATAAAAATGGATGTATCTAGAACTAAAATACGTCTAGATACATCCATTCCTCCGACAAGTATTTCGGGACGGAGGGAGTATATGCAAATTGCATCCAACTGGTAAAAGACAGCGGGCCTCAGATAACAATAAAAATGGATATTCAAGCTAAGAAGCTTAGACTCGAGCTAAAAAGGAACAATAATTTAAACATTCAATCCAATGAAGGGTACAACAATATAAAAGTAAAAGGAACCAATGTACAACAACTGCTTAATATAAACCCTGTATTTCTATCCAATCCTCTGTAGATTATGTCCACGGTCCAGAAGAGCACTTTCGATATTCGACAACAATTCTAGCAAGCGAGTAACCATACCTATAAAAGTCTACAAAATACTACTCAAAGTGATTGTCCAAGGCGGCAACGGCAAATGTCCAAACATAACGGCACACCCGACTATGATGTGAGATGGTATAGTGTGGGCTTACCCTGCCTTCGGCGCTGTTCTTCATGCGCTGGAGCACACGCTCGAACGCTGGCTTCCCGGTAGTCTCCCCAAGCGCAGCAATCAGATCAGCTCTCTTCGGATCAAGCAAGGCACCGAACGCCGAACCGACTGCAACAGCCGCCTGCTGCCAGCCCTTGAGGTTCACACGCGCCGCCAACATGACGCTGCAAACACCAAGACACAGAAGATAAGAACTCTACAACAGCATCATACGATTACGGCAGCCACATAGTTAAACAGTGATGGGAGAGGCGTTTCATCAAACAGCTCGAGGGCGTGATCCTAAACGCCGGCGCGCTAACACCGCACCGCGGAGGCGGTTGGGCTCAGCGACGATCCGAGCTGAGACGCGCGCGCTCGCGAAGAAGAATTAGACACCGCATCGCGGCGGAGCAAGCGCTCGAACCGATCACAGCTCCTCCGTTCCGTTCATCACGCTCGGCATCCCGCGAAACCGCGGAGAGAAAAAAAGTCCCGACGGGAGCCGAGAGGAATGTGAGCACAGGGGTGGATACCTTGCGGGAAATCTCGGACTACCGTGACGCCGCGGGCCGGAGAGGGATTCGCCGGAGTCGTCGCCGGAGGAGGAGACGGCGGCGTGGAGAGAGTCCCCAGTTGTTTATGCCTGGATGGCCTGGACGGGAGGGTGTTTCCGCAAAAGCGCCCACCGCTTCGACGCGAGCGGCCGGGCCCAGCGCCACGTCGACGCATGCAAAATTGCAAAAAAAACCTTAAATGTTTTAAGCTAGCTCGTCCACTGTCCAAGCCGTCCCGTCATCTACTGACATGGCGACGGCAATGGCCGTGGCGGGAGCAGCCTGCGCCTCCCGGCCGCCGCGCCGGCGAGGGCCCGCGCCGCCGCGCGCCGCGGCGGGGGCGGGGGCGGTGGAGATACGGGTCTGCACGAACCGCACGTGCGCGCGGCAGGGCGGGCGCGAGGTGCTCGCGGCGCTCGAGGGGCTCTCGCCGCCCCCGCCGCGCGTCGACGTGGCGCCCTGCGGGTGCCTGGGCCGCTGCGGGGCCGGGCCCAACGTCGGCGCCTCCGTCCCGGGCCGCGGCAACGCCGTGTTCGCCCACGTGGGCACCGCGGCCCGCGCCGCGCGGCTCCTGGAGCACCTCCTCGGCGCCGCCGAGTTCGACGCCGCCGCGGGGCTCGCCGCGCTGGCCCTACGGGAGAAGGCCGAGGCCGCCCTCGCCGACGGGGACGCCGCCGAGGCGGAGGCCCTCTTCACCGAGGTCCGTGCGTGCTCTGCTCTGTGTCTCCTTTATCTTCAGGTTGCCATGGACAGAGCTGCAGTTCTCGGCTTAGTGTTCTGATTCAGTGATTACCATGGCTTGTATGTACTTAGAGCATCGCGATGAATGCTCCTGGTGGACTGCATCTGGCCTACGGAGGCAGGTCTGCTCTGCTGTGCCGAATTTGGTTGGAGAATTAGCGTCTGTCAGTGTAAATGTGTACTCCGATCTGATGAGCTTGGCATGTGATGGTTTGGTGGCAATTGTGCAGGTGTAAGGCGAGAATTGCGATTGGGGATACAGCCGGCGCGCTCGCGAATGCCGATGAAGCAATAAGGATAGCTCCCAATTTTCCCCAGGTATCACTTGTAATTGACCTCTTTTGCTTGTTCATGATACTACATCCTTAGTTAGCCATGGTGTATCCTATACGAATTGGATGACTCGGAATGGACATTTTCGGTCAGAAACTTGTGCAAATACCTTTGCATTAACTAGCAAGTTCAAGTTGATGAAAGCCTGGGTGGATGTGTATGACAGTAAAGTGAATTGAAAACATTTAGTATGCCTGACCATGGGTCAATTACTTACAAAATCGAGAATGGACTGAAGGCAGTACACAGTTGCGGGCTTGCAGTCCTTCCAGTATAAGGCATCATCATATGGCTGGTGAAAACAACTACATCTCATATATAGGCTACGTTCCCACATAACGTGAAATGATTTTCACTTTTATCATATATATAGGTGGACGAGGTGAATCTGATGAGTAACTTGTCTGTGAACATAATGTCAGATGATGTTCCCTTCATAATGTCTGATGATGTTCACTTGTATGATATCAGGGGCAGTGTAGTTTCATTACATACATTTGGAGTGCTGATGTGATTCTTATGAAACAATTGTAAACATAGACAGAGGTTAGTAAGCTCCATTGACGTTTGGAGTGCTTTCAAACTGCCTACTTGAGTGCCTTGTCTTTTTTCCCGCAAAAAAAAAAAGAAAAAAAAAGAGTGCCTTGTCTTTTTTCTCCTTATCTTGGAGACTGTTTTGTAAACATCTTTGTGCATAGCTTCCTTCGGAATGTGAAATATTTCCATGCTGTTCTTTTTTATGGCCGTTTATTGGACAATTAAACACTTGTAGTTTGATGCTTGGCTTTCTTAATAAAGAAGCATGGAAACACTTGTAGTTTGATGCGGTGGCTACTTGAGTGCCTTGTCTTTTTTCCCGAAAAAAAAAACAAAACAAAAAAGAGTGCCTTGTCTTTTTTCTCCTTATATCTTGCAGACTATTTGGAAAACATCTTTGTGCATAGCTTCGTTCGGAACGTGAAATATTTCCATGTTCTTTTTTATGGCCATTTATTGGACAATTAAACACTTGTAGTTTGATGCTTGGCTTTCTTAATAAAGAAGCATGCAACCTTCTTGCTTCTGAAGCATCAAGTCCTGTGGGCATACCGTCTTCATAAGGTCTTATGTATCATGGCTATGCAGTCTCACTTGTTGCGAGGGGACGCGCTGTTTGCAATCGGAGAGTACCACTCCGCAGAGGATGCGTATGCACGTGCCTTGGATCTTGACCCATCTATTCGTCGCTCCAAGTCTTTCAAGGTTAGTGTTGAACAATGCACTGTAGTTTTAGCATTTCATGGTTCCAATTGCAGTCGCGTGATTTAGCGCTGCGGACTTTCTATTCTGAGTTTCTGACACTCCTTTGTCTAGGCCCGCTTGGAAAAACTACGGGAGAAGCTTGTCAGTGTCAGCACTTCATCATAGTTCACACCGAAAACTGCACTTGTAAGATGAGATGAAAAGGTTCATCCAGCAAGAAATGTATGTATAGCTTGTGGGTTCACCAGTCTATATAAATTCTCAACGCAACCTCTGCAAGTGTCACATCTAGCTAGCTTTGCTCGTTCATTTTAACATTCTGCAGTGTACAGTGATCTTGACTCCTTAGAAGAAGAGAGACGGTATGTTGACCATCATTGTTGTGTCCACGTAGTTTTGAACTCGATATATCATATTTGAAATAAATATAACAGATTCAGATGTAGGCTATGGAGTTGTTTATTGGGTTAATATTTACGAGCAATGGTGTTGGTAACTCTGGAGCGTCCTTGCAGTCCGTATCGGATCGCCGAGGAGGAAAGAAAGAAACTTACGTACCTTGAATTCGACCTTGTATAGAACATGCAAGCATTCGAAACTATAAATTAAACAGAGAACACATCGGTAAATATTGGTGCATGGTCAAATAATTGTGCAGTGAAGCAGCAAGCAGTACTGTATACATATTGGAAACTGTTAGAGTATGTAATGGGCCTAATGGATCCATTAGTCTTAGGGTTAATTAGAGATAAGGGTTGCTTGCTTAGGGGTCAAGTAAGCCTTGCTTGGGAGTCAAGTAAACCTTTCTATATAAAGAAAGGAGATGTATCAATCTAATCAAGCAAGAATTAAGAAGGAAATCCCTTCCCTCTTGCCCGGCCGTGGGCAAAAAAGGCCCCCGACCGGCCCTCTCGCACCCTTCTTCTAGCAGCGCCATAACAGAAACATAGAAAGTAGTGCATACCTTCCAAATGGTTAATGCCTAAAACTTTCAAATCCAACAGAATCAATAGAACGCCTGCATTTTTTGTGAGCACAAAGAACAGTATCAATAAACAAAACAAATTCAAAAATGAAGGAAGAATTGGGGGAAGAGGAGATGCATGAAGGAGAGACAATTGGAGAGACCTGAACATCACCCATCGTTGCTGGAGATTGGTTTGCAGAGTGGGGAGAGTGAAAGGAGGAGCCGTAAGTCTGATTTATATGGCGTACATTACTTGAATGTAGAATATGAGTCGCCATATGTAACTGACATGCAGCAATCAATGACCGGACCATCAACTGCTAGTACTAATGGGTGATTAATCTCTCAAAATCAATAAGCGTTGACGATAGAACTTCAGACAACTGTTCGGGGGCACACTATCCGGCCGCACCGTGAAAACGAATGGATCGAAGCAGACGAGAATAGCCCATGCCATCGCCAGGCGCACCCAACGCGACCTCCATGGGATCCATCGCTAGCTCTGGCGGCGGTCGGACACAGGTCGGGCGGCCATTGGAAGAGCCGCCACGCCGGTTGGAGAAGTGCGACCTTTTTTTTGGATGCTACAGGCCCACTAGGGCCAAAATTAAGCTGAGACGCCCAAAAAAGTGGCCAGAGCAGTGACCCAGCACATTTCATGATCGTGTTAATCGCGCAGGAAGCCAGATCAGGCGCGATTCACAAATAATCTGGCGGCCGAAAATGCTCAAAACTGACGACCAGACCGCTGAGGATGCTGATGGCCTGAGAAGGCAGGAAAAGTGCTCAGTTATAATGTATTTAAATTGCTTCACTTCCCATTTGTGAACTACTATTTCGCTATACCATACTGGCATTGGTTTTATTCAAGTTAAGTTTAATTTTGAGCCAAACAAATTGGATACGAAGGAAATGTGATTTTGTGGCGACGCAATTCCTTGATAACTTTATAACACAGTATGATAGATGTGGCGACTAGAAAGACAAATCCTTTCGCAAAAGAAAAAAGACTAGAAAGACAAATCGGTATTATAGCTAGCACACGATGATAAAGTAATAGGTAGGCAGCCTCCGTGAGGTGGATGCCGTACGTCCCAGAGCAGCTGGTACTTCTCCGGGCCGCCGCACTCGCTCGCTCCGGCCATGCCGCACCTCTTCCCGTTGTTCTAGTTGTAGTTCATCTGGGCGCGATCGCCGGCAACCAAGTCAAACTGAATGTCACATTTTTGCACTATTTGTTCAAAGGGGCCTTAAGGTAACTGTTAACCAAGTCATTATAAGGTGCTCCTTATGGCTTCTTATCTAACTTTATCTAATGTATGTACATTATATCTTCTAGCCATTCCACCGACATTCGAATTTGGTCATGCTACTCATGTGTAGTATGAATTGTGTTTAATGTCAATATTATTTAATGTACATGCTAAATAATCTATGACTC